GAACACTTAGGCCGCATATAAGTGGGACAACAATGGCGGTACAACTCCCATCATTGTCCACCTGCGGAGTACAAAGTGGATGATTTGGTGTTAGTCCGTTTTCCCCATCATACGGTACATGGTTTATCTAAGGGGCTCCTTGCACAATGGAAAGGACAATATCAGGTGTTGTGGCAAGTTGGACCACAAATTTATGAGATTTGGCATGACGTCCAGCAGGCCGATCCTCCAGAGATTGTGCATGTGCAGCAGTTGAAACGCTTTATACAAAGGGATCAGGAGCAGTTAATACCATCTACAGATCCACCGATGCCTCCTCTTGACGTTCCTCCAGATCCCGGCCCATCTACAAGAGAACCCTGATGGTTTGCCATTATTTCGAGAGGAGGGGATGATGTGAGGGCCAAGTGTACGGCTACGATGTCATATACTAATATTAGCGTAGTGGGATTTTGGTAGCCGTTGGGTTGGTTTCAATCCGGACCACTCGCTCCTGTATATAAGCTAGGGTTTTTTGGGCTAATGGATATGCATATTTTCTGTATTCCCTTTCCATATTCCGAGCACTCACACATTCAAGTAAGATAATGCTACAATATCATTCTTTTGCATTTTTTGCTAAAATCCTATGTTTTTGTTGGTTTACCTATAGGGGGACTAGGATGGTAGTGAATATACCTAGAATATGGTCGGATATTCTAGGATATTCTACCATCTAACGGTTTGTATTCATTTAGATTAATTTGGTATTTATAATTTATAAACATGTTTATAATTTATAAACTTTCCTAAACCCTTTCTAGTATATTCTTTTTTATTCTATCATCTAATGGTTGATATGCCATAAGATTAATCTTGTGTTTATAAATTACAAACATGCTTATAATATAAACTTTATTTGATCAATTAGATTAATAAGTAATAATAAAACTACCATTAAGCAAACCAAGCGTTGCTACATGCAACGCGTAGCAATTTATTTAGTATTAGGATTAAAATATTATGAATATTTGGCAATGAGCAGCAGCGATGCCCATGGAGTAGCAAGGCGTGGTGCTAGAAAGTGTATAACAATGGAAACTAAGTAAGAAATCAATCACTAGGCATTTCTAGCACATTTTAAAATTTGATAGGATCTTGTGAAAAGCTAAGTAAATCGCTGTAAAGAGAGTGTTTCCACCAAGAATCTGGGCACCCAAGTAAAGAAATGAAATGACACACTATAATGGCTAGTGTGAACCAATTAGTATTGCCTGTTTTTATTACCAAAATTGATGATTTGGAAAGAATAGAAATGAATAAAGAAATTTATTCATTGTCAACTAGGCCAGAGACTGGTGGCCCGGTATTAATCTCATCTCTTCACCCTCTTCTTACTTCTCATGAGTTTCTCTAGCTCTAGCATAGATGGAGTAGAATCTAGATGGCATCCATATTGATGCACCATGCAATTCATACTCTCCATGTAGAAGGACACATTTGACTGTTGTGATTAGGCAGCTATCAAAAGCTCAATTTAGCTTGACACTGAAAAGAGTTAAGGATGGTGGAAGGATTGCCAAAAGGGGACGGAATGCCTCAGCTTGAACTTCAATGGACTGGTGGACCAACTAATCACCATAGTCCCCCTGGCTAGGATCAGCCTTGCATTTAAAGCCTGGTTAGTAGGCTCAGACAGGAATTCTTGCTTCCAAAACTATAGGCCGAAGACAGATGCTATACTATTAGGTCTAAATATACTTATAAAAATGTTTTTTATAAATATGTTTATTATTTTTAGGAAAGTATATAAATTATAAATATATTTGTAAATTATAAATACAAGATTAATCTAAATGAATAATAAATGCTAGATAATAGAATAATTTAAAATATCCAAATACATTCTAGGTATATTCATTACCACTTAATACTAATAAATTAGTTATAGTTCCCATAGACTGTTTTGAATTTGCATTATGAAACAAGACTGCAACTAAATGTAACTTTTCTTTGAATTCATTCTTTTGCTTTGATCAAGTTCTTTCAAATGATTGATGAGTGCAACGTGCCTCACGTCAAAATTCTACTAATTTACAACTTGAGAAAGCTAGTGGAAAGCAGCACGGTGGAGGTCAAGAGATCAAGATCATATATATATCCTTTGTACACAGGGGAATAACCAAGGAACCAGTATCAGGAATTATCTATGCATAATTTTCAATGCAGTAGGATGATTTAAAATTTTCATATACAGGCTAATCCTTCCTCGCCACCTCTGGATGCGAGGCTTTCAAATTCTACTACATTTGATGTTGGCAATGGTGGTGGCTGCACTAGTCTGAAGATTGTGTAATGCCTAACTTGCTTCAAAGTTCTTTGGTAACGATTGACATCAAACTTTACAAAGAAAACTCCCATCTCATTTTTCGTTTCACATTTGCTTCTTCGTCCATTTCCTTGGCTCCAGCGTCGCTCTTCTTTTTTCGAACAGGTAAGCGAAGTGTATAGCTTTCGTAGTTCGATGAAACGGTATCAAATTGACTATGCTTTGAATATATCCATTTGACTACGTTTGAACAAAATATTTCCCGCGAAGGAAGAAAGAACTAATCCATCGCCGCCATCCTTGGCCTACGGGTTCCCAGCTCCTGGCGGTGGCGACGATGGAGTCACTGGAGTGGAATCATCGGTTTCTTCCGCGGAGTAGCAGCGGAAAGCGTCGCCGGGAAGAACATACCTCCCCTCGAGGATGGAGTTGACGGCGTAGCGATTGAACGCCTCGGTGGTGTGGATGCCATCCCAGCTTATGTACTCTCGCGGATTGCTGCAAGCGCTGGCCAGGACCGTGGAGTTTTGGATCAGCATTCTCCTCCCACACATCACCTTCTCGTGGAAGTTGTATGGCTCTTTGGCCCCGCAGCACGCAAGCAGCGGCTCCGAGAAGCCTGCAAACGAAGGAAAGATCGCACTCTTAGCAAGATCAATAGTCAAGAACTTTGCAAGAAAGCCTACCACGCTTTGGAGGATCGTACAGCACTTCGGTCATGATGCTGTACATGTCCACGAAAGTGATGTTGTAGGAGGGGTCTTGGAGCGAGAGGAGAACGCGCATCCTGTCCACGGCTGCCGCGAGTAGCTCGTTGTGGAGCTCGGACAACCGGTTTAGCTTGCGAAGGCAGCCGTTGTCGTCGTAATCAAGCGGGTCGGTGCTGGCGAAGAGTGTGAGCATCTCGGGTGTGCAGCCGACGGGAGGAACGCTGATCACCAAAAACTTCCGCGCCTGGAGGTTCTCGGCTAGCAGCTGTAAGAAGATCGTTGGAGTAAGAGCTCGAAAGCTTTGTCTAGCAAACCAAATGCAATGCTCCAAAGTCACAGGAAAACTAGATGCATGAGCACTCAAAAACTGAAGAAGAAAATCGAGAGAAGCTTACAGCAATACTCGCGGTGATGTTCTCCACGACTTGAGGAACGACAGTGAACTCCACATCGGCCACGCTCATCGCACCAGATTGTAGAGCGTATCTGTAATCGTTCTGCCCGGTAGAGATCACGTAGAGAGCGGTCCGGAAGTACGCTGGATCCGGGAGGGGCTGAGTGGTTCCTTGAATTTGGCATCACAAAAAAGAAGAGTTGCAAAGAAGGTCGCATAGTATAGATATGGATGGATTCTTACCAGTAGCGAGAGCATCTAAAACATCCGACTGGAACTTGTCGACCCACTGCACCTGGATGAGCAACGGATACGGGACTTTGAGATCCGAGAAGCTGGCAGTGCTTCCAGCGACCGCGAAGCTAATCCCATGCCGCAAATTCGACACCACGCCGGTCGTGTAGGATGACAAGAGAGGCATGCCGAATGCTTGCGCTATAACGTAGCATGCAATGCCAGTAAACGATAAGAAATCTTATAGCAACCTAGAAGATCACTTACCCAAGAAATCGATCATCAGCCTTCCATCCGAGAGCCGATGCGCGGGGCTCTTGAAGAAGGTCATGCCGTAAGGCGAGACTTCCTCCTGGGCCTCGAGATCGGTGGGATACAGCGTGCGCGCATTGCCAGTGTCGGCCCAATCGTCGCCGAGGGAGAAGATCGCCGGGAAGCACTTGTAGGCGCGATCGCGATCATGATCCTCCTGCGCGTAGGCGCCTGCATGGGATCCAAGCACGAGGAGCGCGAGCAGCGCGGCAGCGGCCCCTCCCCCTCGCGCCATTGCCCTCGCTCATAAACCCTAGAAGAGAGAAGGAACAAATGGAGGCCTCAAGTGGTTCTCCAGGGAGAGGAGGGAACGTACTTCTCTCAAATGCAATGTATCCACCGCCACGAGGAATATTCTCAATATTCGCACGACTCTAAAGCTTGATTAATTAGATTTCTAATCTATATAAATACAACTAATAAGGTAATATTACTATTTTATCAGAAATGCACTTCATTTTCAAATAATAATTGTTACCAATAAAAATTCGAATAACAATTGTTATATTCATAGTACTATCATATATTCATAGTTTATCATATGAAAATTTGATATGTTGGTTGGTTGGTTCCTACAATGCGTCCAGAGTAGTGGTCAAAAAGCATTTAGCCCTGCGAGAGCTGGGATTTTTGCTGGTTGGTCTCCGAGAATTTGGCAACTTGCATTGATCACAGGCGTGATTTTCATCCGCCAGCAGCATTTCTTGACCAAGGCCACGAATCGATCAAACAAATCCCTCGCTCTTCTTAATCTTTTAACCAAAGAGAAACTTTTCTCCAAACACTTATATTCACCCACGATGTCCCAAAAGAGGCAAGAACACACATCCCAAATCCTGGCCACCGCCATTCCGTCCTTTCATCCATTTTCGATGAGGACAATCCAGTCAGGTCGTTGTGATATTTTCCATCACAAGATGAACGGTCTCGATCTGGCCACGTTTTAACAGAATCACTGGCATATACCGTCCTCGGCCACGGAATGTTCCCCACAGTACCGTTAAGAGTATATACCATCGAATTCCCTTTGTGCGCATTTTATTCCTTGGGTCGTGAACGAGAGAGCGCGAATAAAAAACTCGCATTGCTCTATCATCAAAGAGCTGGCTCACTGAGGAGAAAGGCTGTGTGTCTCTTGTCCAGGGATTAGGATTAGGATGCTCGCTGTCGCGAAATTGAGAGATTGATACAATGCGCTCCTAGATCATCGCTCCCGATCGGTCAAAGAGGGGACACAGGTGAGCTGTGGGCTTCTCGAGGCAGGAATTTCCACTGGATTTGGAGGAATCGCGGCCGAGGCCAGGAAGAGATTGATAGGGAGGAATAATGTCCGCCTCAGCAGCAGGGGCTGATCAGGGTAGCAGCGCCAATGGGATCATGAAATCCTTCAGCAAGAACAGCATCCGGCGCGGCTTCTTCCCAGAAGGTAATCGCATCCTCTATCACTCTTTTGCTCAATCGGCTCCGAAATATCGGCTGCCCGGGCTCTAGGTCCCCTGTTCTTGCCGTTCTTGGTCGTGTTCTTCGCGTTCTTGGTCGTGTTCTTCGTGTTCTTGAGTTGTCTCGAGTGTTCTTCCTGGCTATGGAGGCGAATATTCACCTACATTGGCCAGGCATATTCACGGGTCTCTCACTTTGTTATGTGTTCCAGGTGCTTTTAACGTTCGCGTAGCTAGCGACCCAGCCGCTATGGCGAGGCACCAACAGCATTTGGACGACAGCGATGACGCCACGCCGGTTCTCGAGGTCGCTCTACCGTCCGATCAACACCACCACTCTCCTCCCTCGGCCTCCAAGAAGCCCACCTCTTCCACGACCTCTTCCTCCTCCTCCTCCTCCTCCTCCAGGGCTCTCTTCACATTTCCATCCAAATGGGACGACGCCGAGAAGTGGCTCAAATCCTCCGCCAAGAAATCCGGCAAGAGGCAGCAGATTCACGGATTCAAGAAGCTCCACCAGCAGCCGCAAGGCGGCGGCGATCGCGAGCTGGAGAGCAGCGATCTCATCCAGGGAGACCGCGTCGAGGAGCTCGAGGAGGACGAGGACGAGGAGGGAGAATCCGAGGACCGGGAGAAGAAGATGATGATCGATTCGTCGTCCACTTCTTCTTCCATGGCCGCCGGCGTCGTGGGATCGAGATTTAGCTTCCCCATGGTGAAGAGCGATGGCGGCAAGGCGCTGGAGGCGACGATCTGCGAGGCGGTCAAGAACCAGCAGCTGCGCATCCAGAAGCCTTTCACGGATCCAACAGGTGCGTAGCGAGATTTCTTCCCTCTTCTTCCTCGCATTCCTTGAGATTCCTTGCCATGCATCCATTGTTCTTCATCGCATTCTTGGAGATTCCTTGCCATGCATCCATAATCTCGCGTGATCGATGAATTCTTCCCTCATTCTTCCTCTCTTCCACGATCTAACACTGGGTTCTTCCTCGCAGAGGCTACCAGCGGCTTCGATTTCAAGCAAGATCCCCACCAGCCGCCCAAGAGCCCGACGTCTCTGTACGAGAGCGTGGCGTGCATCGCTCCAGGGCCTCGATCCATCTCCATGCGCGACATGGGCACGGAGATGACCCCAATCGCGAGCCAGGAGCCGTCAAGAACAGCGACGCCGATGCGCACTCCAATCATGACCAGCCCGGGCGTCTCGCCGGGGCGATTGCGACCAATCCCTCCACCGCCGCCGCCACCGCCGCCGCCACAGGCAACCACGCCCACCATGCCACCGAATTACCGCTCCACCGGCACCGACGCCTCTCCTCCTCCGCCGCTCCCTCCTCCTGGCGATCATCTGGACGAGCAGCTCGCATCGATTCCAGCGCTTCCAGCGACCCCGGGTGGAGCGACGATCCACACCACCAGGAACGCTACCAGGCACGAGATCTTGGTGCTTGGCACGCAACTGGGCAAGAGTAGCATCGCGGCGTGGGCGACGCGCGAGGAGGAAGAGAACGATGCGTCCAAATGCCTCAAGGTGGTGATCCAGCAGCAGCAGCAGCAAAATCAAACCGTTGACTCTCTTAGACCGGCCGTTGACCTGGACGAGGTGAGGCGGACCATGGTTGAAAGCCGCGCGACCGCGTGGGAGGAGGCCGAGCACGCCAAGTACATGGCGAGGTAAGCGATAGAGTTCTTTGCCTGATCGATTCAGTTCTAAAGCTTTCGTTTTTCCGATCTATCGATGCAAACAAAAAGGTATGAGCGCGAGGAGGCTAAGATTTTGGCGTGGGAGAATCACCAGAAGGCCAAGGCCGAGGCCGAATTGAGACGAATGGAGGTAAGCTGTCGCTCGCTCCCTGCTCTATGTTTTTATGTTCTTTGGCTCTTTAGCGTCAAGTTCTAGCTTTTCCCTCTAGGAGTGTTTTTAGTGATCTCCGCGATAGAATAGAATCATGAGCGTACGTCTTGGAATCCAAAGCGTACGGCACCTGTGTTGAGCTTTACATCCTTCCAAACCCCTGCCAGGTCCTCTGCCTGTTTATCTCGTTTTGTGTGAGATCTTTTCCTTCTCTTCTTTTTTGTTTGTTCATCCTTTGCTTTTTAGCTGGCTGGCTGGCTATGACCGCTGCTGCCGCGCTGCTACTGATTGATTCCTCACTTAACGAATGGGAGTAATTGCGGCAGGTGAAAATGGAATAGAATAGAACGTAAGGTAAAAACTCTGGTTTTAATCCGTGACCGGCGCCGACGGTCAGAGCGGTCAGCGCCGGTCCAGTCCCAGTCCACAGTCGCCAGTCCACTCACCACAATCAGTCAGTCAGCCAGTCCACCATCATCAGGCCCTCGCACATGTCCATGTTCTAGCATCATTCAAGCGAGTGATTTGCTTGGCTATTATAGAGTATAGTATCTATCTATCACTGGGGAGATAGATAGACAGAGCTTCGTTAGCTAGGACTAGATCTCACTTGGGGGATTAGCTTTGGCTGGAATGATGTGAATGATTCTCTTCCTCGCAGGTGAAAGTGGAGAGAATGAGATCCCATGCACACGAGAGAATGATGAACAAGTTGGCGGCGGCGAGGCGGCGTGCCGAGGAGCTCCGCGCCGCCGCCGAGGCCAAGCGGGGCGAGAAGGCCGCCAAGACGGTGGAGCGCGCGAGCGAGATCCGGCGGACAGGTTCTACTGCCTCTTCCTCCTCGCCCTCTTCGTCCTCGCATCTCTTTCGTTGCTGCCTGGCGGGTGTATAGTAGTGCAACGCAGATAGAGAGAGAGAGAGAGAGAGGAGCAAGTTCTTGTTGATGGTAACGTGTTTTTTCCTCGATTCAATCAATTCGTTCATTGCAGGCTTTTCTCTAAACATTAGCTTGATTCTCGACAAGATCATCTATAACTTGTTACGGATTGGATTGCAGATCTTTCAAGCTTTGTTTTTTGATTTTTCTTTGCTTTTGCAGTGTGTCGGCACAGTGAACTCCAAAGATTCCGGCTGGCTTTCCGGAGTAGGATTTAGTTCTGTTTCCAAAGCCCTGTTTTTTAATCCTAGATAATTTTTGTGGCAGTGGAGATCACAGTCACATGTAGTGCTGCACCTCTCTCACATTCATTTCTCACATGGAATCATCAGTTAACATGAGGTTCATCTCCACAGTGACAGCACGTGATTTTCAGTGATTTTAATTCAACCATGGAATTTTTCCAGTCTCATTCCTTCATTTAAAAATCTCATGGTTCTTATCTTATCTAGTTTTTTTCTTTGTTTTATCTTATGGTACATTCCCACCTTCAGCTGACCATGCTGGTCAAATTATCAATCAGACAATTTCTGTATTATTAATAGCAATAATAACAATAATGATACTAGTTTGTATTAATTAATAATAGTTAATACCATTTTGTCTTTTTAACTAATTCGCTAGAGAGAGGATTCGAACCTTTGACCCTGTGGTTAACAGCCACATGCTCTAACCAACTGAGCTACTCTAGCTTGCATTATATAGTAATTATGTAATTAATTTACATTACTAATGTATTAAGAATAAGTATGTTCTAATAATTTTATTTACCTTTAGAAATATTAATATAACCAAATAATAAAATAAAAAATATTTCAAACGTCTCTCTCCTTCGTGTCATGTTAAGAAGTGGGAGTTGTGGGGATTCTATCCTGAAACACTTGGCGTGAAGTCGAGATGTCTGAAGTGGACAGCCTAAACGAAGCCCATGATGGATCGATCGATCTCACGGCCTCCATGGTCCTCTCCCCTTGAATGCTACGACGTATATGTGAGAGTTATGATACACGTCTTCGTCGTTTGTGCGAGAGCTTGACTTAAAACCGGAAGTGAAGCGGGAGCCTCACTTTCCAAACGCTTACACTTGAATGAGACGAGGATGGATGAGCAGCGTGCGTAAGTTGGGCTCGTCCAAAAGATTGGAGCTCTGGCTCTATGCACGCCTCAGAAAATGGTGTGAGATATCTTGGCTTTCTGACCTTCGAAAGATCTTTGCCTGCGACGAGAAAACAATGCTTTAAACGGCGGACACATGATCACAAGAGCTAGATTTTGGTACCTCGAGGAAGATCTTGTGAACTTGAGTGAGAGTCAAAAGGATGGAAGCTGTGAATTCATGAAAGTCCTGGACAAAGCTGATTGCGCGTGAGTGGAAGTATAGAAAGTGGAATTCAATGCTCACTGATCACCATGATCTTCTTAAATTATAGAAAACAACTCAGCGAAATCTCTGAGTAGTGAGCTCCTCCTGTTGAGTAAAAACTATACTCGTTTGATGGATCAAATCTGTGAAGTATTGAGCATGAAGAACTGTGAAAAAGTAAAGTGGCTTACGTAAGTAGCTTGGAAGTATGAAAGAAAGTGCTCCTGTGCTGGAGTATAAGACTTTATCCTTGCCAGTAGCCCATAAAGCTTTGCTTCTTACGCTTCGTCTGAGAAAAGAGCTTGCTTTTAGAAGGAGTAAAGAAGAAGAACAACAATAAAGCTGACCTCTTTCTAATGCTCAATATCGGCCTGTGATTGCAAAAAGAAGAAACAAAAACTTACCGATGATCCTCAGCACCATGATCTTCTCCTCGAAAAGAATCTATCCCTGAGCAAACGATCTTGCGTTAACACAGGAGAAAAAAGAACAAAGAAAGGAAACTTTACCCGAGAGTTGGCAATGAACCAAACATCTTCACGAGTCTTTGAGAGCGCTCGAGCCCGACTTCCGAGTCCCCGAGAGCAGCACATTCCGGAGCATCACCTGTCCGCAGCTAGAATCCGGGAGCAACTCATCGACGTGCTTGGAAACCCGGATGCCAATCTCCACATTCTTGTGAACATTGCAAGCCCCCAGCAGCGACGTCCAGAGATGGATGTGAGGCTCAAACGGCATTGCATGGATCAACTCCTCGGCCTGTTCCAGCTTCCCGGACCTGGCCAGCAAATCCGCCATGCAAGCGTAGTGATCCACCCCGGCCTCCACACCGTAGCTCTCTCGCATGCTCACAAAGTGGTAGCGAGCGTCGGCCACAAGCCCCGCGTGTCCGCAAGCCGCAAGAACACACGTACAAGTCAGTCGATCCGGCCGCTCGCCTTGGAGCTCCATGAGCCGGAAGAGCTCGAGAGCTCCTCGAGGATCTCCGTTGTGAGAGTGCACAGCGATGATCGTGTTCCAGGTGAATGTGTCTTTGTCTCTCATGCTGTGGAAGATCTCTCGAGCTCGATCCAGGCTTCCACACCGGCCATACATCCCGACGATGCTCGTCCCGAGGTGGACGTCCATCTCGGCCTGTTCTTCCTCCAAGAGTTTGTGGAGAGATCTCCCGAGTTTCACGTCGGTGATGCTGCCGCAAGCGTCGAGGATGTTCACGAAGGTGACTTTGTCGGTGTGGATGCCTTGGCTGTCCATGAGAGGCAAGAGCTTGATCGCTTCCTTGGGATGCCCGTTACGCGCATACGCGAGGATCATCGCGGTCCAGGCTATGGCGTCCTTGTTCCAGCTCGGGCACTCGTCAAAGACTTTCTTTGCGAGGTGGAGCTCGCCACACTTCGCGTACATGGTGACGAGCGCGCTCACGACTTTGGGATTGGATTCCAGGCCGGGAGAGTTTCTGATGCTCGAGTGGATGGATCTTCCCTCCTCGAGCGCCGAGAGATTGGAGCACGCCTCGAGCAAGCTCAGGAAGGTCATCCTGTTTGGAGCGATGTTTCTTTCTCTCCTCATCACCGTGTGGAAGAACTCGAGCGCTTGGATGCTGTGCCCGTTCTGCGCATACGCTGCGAGCATCCCATTCCAAGTCACGCGGTTGCGATTTGGGAGTCGATCGAAGGTAGCTCTCGCCTCGGCGATGCTGCCGCATCGCCCATACATGCTCACGATCGCGCTCGCGACCCGGACGTTGGATTCCATCCGCGCTTCCAGGATCCGCTCGTGTAGCATTCGCCCAAATCGCAGAGAAGCCGCGCCCTCACAGCTCCCCAGCGCGCCAAGGAACGTCACTGGGCTGGGCGCCACGCCCTCGATGAGCATCTCCTCGAAAATCCTCCTAGCTCTGCCAAAATCCCCATTCTCGGCATAGTGTGTGATCAATGTGTTCCAGCTCGCAACGCTTCTCTCGGGGATTTGATCGAAGACTCTCTTCGCCTCGCGGACGTGGCCATTCCGGAGCATCGCAGCTATGGTGGTGTTCCAGGTAACCACGTCTTGGAGAGGCATTCTTTGCAAGAGATCCATACCAGGCTCAAGATGCCCGTTCTGGGTATACACCACGAGCATCGTGTTCCACTCGATTGGGCCCTTCCCGGGCATGGAATCGAAGAGATCACGCGCATCCAAGACCGATCCACAGCAGCCATACATCCGGATCACGCCGCACAGGACGATCGTGAGGTTGCGATTGGGATCACAGCCCAGTTTGTAGATGAAAGCGTGGATCCGGCGGCCGTGGGCTAGAGCTCCTGCGTCGGCGATCCGGGCGAGAATCGAGAGATAGGTGTCGGCGTCTGCGGCGCGGCAGGAGCCCAGCAATCGCTCTACTGTTGTGGTGAGCAGTTCTTGGGATCTCGGGGGCGAATCGTCGAGATCGTTCAGGGAAGAGGGCGATGGAGAAGAGGAATTGAGCTGCCAGGTCTCGCTGGGCGCAAGCATTGCCATGGATCTGCGACTGCCGATCGCCCTCCCGATCGCGAGAAAGCTCTTGATCGATGCGCGAACCATTCATCCTTTTCTAGGGCAAACCAATCTTTTTAAATTTAAAATTTTGAAAAAACGCGCGAACGAGAACAAAGCAAACAAAATAAAACTATGTGATGAGAAATCTATGCGTGGTAACGAACGCCAATTATTCCTATGGAGATCAAATGGTAAGAACACCAAAATTTCTACCTTGGAACCAAGAAAAAATTACCGCAAGCAACAGGACCTCCAGCGTTCCCAGATATACTCCCGCCTGAAAGATCGATCACACAGAGCTTGTAAGTTCTCATCGAGCACTAAAATCTCTCATACTCACTCCGCCCAAGATCGTCGGCGTGATCGTGCACGACAATGGATCTTCCGAGTATAGAATTCGCTCCCCGGAGTGGAATCTACACGCAAGAGTTAAACACTTCGTCAAGGCCTGGTAGACTTGAAAGTACCTCACAGTTTGCAGAGAAGAACTCGGCGACGCCTGAGCGACAGCGAGATCACGGGTTAGATACAGAAGAAATGGTTTTTTTACTGAAAAGTTTCTACCATTGGCGGCTGCCTGGATGTTGCCAAGATCTCCAGCATGGCGATCGATATTTACATTGTCGTTGTGCCTCCTGTTCAAAGGATTGTAGTGCGTACCTGTCAAGTCGAGCACGACTTAAGGCTCTCTATCAAAGAGAAGAAAAAAACAAGCTCTCTTACGTACCCAGGACTTTGCAACCACTGCTTAGATCGCCATATGTATGGATATGAAGGCCGTGTAAGCCTGGTTTGAGTCCTTGAATTATGCCGTGCAGAGCCGTATGACCTGGGAAAAACCGTGAAGTTATTTCGAGAGATGATCCAAAGTAAAGAGTTTGCGATGCTTAGCTTACTTCCTGTAGCGTTTTGTGTGAA